TGGACAAAGATGGGATTAGCCCACTAGCTCATATAAACATATGAGCTCCAACGGCTCGGATTCAATTTGGGCCGATTTGAAGATCATGAATATCACATAGTATTTGAATTTTAATTTTTTTTCTATAGACCCAAATCATTTGAAATTTTAAGTGTGTGTTCTTCTCATCAAGTTTCATCTAATAAAAATATTATAAAAAAATTATCCATGAAAAATAAAATTCAAGTGATTTAAATTTGTAGAAAAAAAACTAAAATTCAAACACTATCGGATATCTGTGGTCGTCAGATCGATCCAGAATCAATCTGGAACGTTGAGTTTTTATATTCATATGAACTAGTGGAATAATCTCATCTTTTCCCATATATATATATATATATATATAAAAGTGGCTTTAACGTGTGTCATGGCCCATGATAGAGAGATATATTGAGAGGAGGGAGAGTATTATAATTGATGGGGACCTTAGGGATAGAAATAAAATGTGTGTTAGAGAGAGGGTAGAGTGTGTCATTATTGATGAGAGAGAGATGTGGTAGGGCCTTTGGATGACACCAAAGTTAATGGCCAACAAGAGCCTTCACAAACACAAAGCACACACAAAGGAACATATCCACAGATAATCCCATCCACCTTTTTTTGAGAATTTTTTTCTATTTATTATTATTTTATTATTTATTTATTTTAAATTTTTTTTTCAAATGGGTCAGCCCTTTTTATTCATTTATTATTATTTATTTATTTCAAAGTTTTTTTTCTAACTAATTCGAATCAGCTAGGCTCTATTTTCTATTTATTATTATTTTATTATTTTAAAGTATTTTTCTTTTAATTGCAATCGGCTACACGAATCTTGGTCCTCCATTCTACTGTATTAAGGATCGTACACTTAGTGAGGCATAACTTGCACCTCCATTCTACTCTATTAAGGATCATACACTTAACCTCCTAAGTGGTATTGTACTGGGTTTGTACTATATATGGCCAGCCCAACTAAGTCTACTCTATCTCATCTTATTGCCAATTGGTGCTACAATTAAATTTTTTTACAGGTATTCATTTCGAGTTCTATTCATTTTTGTCTTGTCACTCATCCATCTCAACATTCTCTTCTCTGCTGCACTCATTATATAAGTAAATTATTTTTTGACCGCCCAACATTCGGCCTTATATAGCATAGCTTGTCGTGTAACTGCCCCATTGAACTTGTAGCTGCCCCATTGAACTTGCTTTAGTTTTATTGGTATGCATCAATCACATAAAATTTAACTTCATTAACCTTTTTTTATAAAGAAAAAATTTTCATCCACATTGGTTCCATGTATCCAAAGAAAAGACCGATAACCTCCCAATATGGGACCCCACACTACTACAATTTTAAAATTAAGGCATCCAAACACAAATAAAAAACCAATCTCCCCATTTCTAAGCAAATAAAGAAAAAAATATTGCATATTTCAGTCACCGGTAAAGTCCCCATTGCCTAGGCGCAAGCCGGAGCCTTAAAATCCGGCAACCGAACAAATGCAATAGACCTCGGAGCGATCAAGATCGGTGAGTCCGAATCGATGGAGAGGGGGCTTATTGCTGGTATTTCTCCAGCTTTTGTGAGCTCCAATGGACTGCCATTCAACAACATAACTCTACTGAATATGTTGCCATTCTTTGGAGTTAGGTGGTATTCCTCTCTTTTAGAGCCTGTTTGGGACACCACGTCCTTGGCCACTTTGTCTGATGAAGAAGTGGTGAATATGTTCATGTCATTCTCCATACTCACATTGAAGGTCGTGGAGTTGCTCAAGTTGATGAAGAGAAGCATGACACCAGCCTAGAGAGAGAGAGAGAGAGAGAGAGAGAGAGAGATAGAGAGAGAGAGAGAGAGCAACATCAATAAGCATGTAAATCAGATTGATATTAGGGTTATGTTTGTTGCACATTTCAAAATAGTGGTGGTATGTAAAATTAGGGAACATTCGAAAGGATTGTAGTGTTTAAATAATTTGGGAAACACATGGATAGCATAGTTCTCGAGATTGGATTGGGTGACCTAGTCCGATTGGTACCTAGGCTTGGTTATGTCTAAACTAAAAATTTTGTTTGTTCGAAAATTGGTCAAAATTAGTGTTTGACCAGTTTTGACTATTTAGGGTATCCACTTTTCACTTGTTCGATGGTCAAATAATGTTGAAAAATGTTTTCCATTATATTATATATTTTAAACTTTTATTTTTATTATATTATTAAAATATGATACAAATTGTTGAATCAGTTTTGAATAGAGCATACCCCTTACAAATTTGGAAGGGGGGCCAATCCTAATAACTACAATAGATAGTACCTATATCATGTTTAAAAAGGAGTTGTCGTGCATTAAACAATAAAATGCCACCTCAAATGAGTATTTTAATTGAAAATTTATTATGCTTTTTATTACTTCATAGATATATACGGTATTTATTGTTTTATTTGGTTCAAGGAGGTCATAATCACTCTTATCTTTTAAATTTCAAAATGAGCGGTTTTAAAAGTGTAAATGATGAAACTTAAAGTTCAAAATAATTTTTTGAGCTGTACGACTAATCCTACATTATCCAATTTACTAAAAGTAATCGTAACATCTACATAATATTGATAAATAGTCTCATATTATACAATCCCTTATCAAAGCTATGATTGGCATAATAAATGATATAACAAAATGGCACAAGTAAACAGCATTTTTTTCGTACCTACTGCTGCACTACCTAAAAAACCTATTAATAATAAAAGACATTTTTGCAGTAAAGAGTGCCCAGAGCCAATATGCATCCCAAAGGAACACCACAGACTTAATCAGGAGGTGAGGTATCTAAATGTACTGGTTTTGCAAAGGGAATATTGGTTAAATAAAAAGAGATGAAGTATATGTGTCTTTGCAAAAATTGGAATCAACATGGCAAATACAGTAATTTGGAAAAGGCAGAGTAATACCGATTCTCCCCCAACACTATATATATATAAGTAAGTGTTGATCCATATTTTTAAAAAGTAAAGAAAAATAAAAATAATTTTAAAATATATAATATATTTCAAAAATAAATTCACAACTTTGTTTAGTCTATCTAATTAGTCAAAATTATCCGACTAGCCAAAACCGATCAGACATTGGTGTTGATTAGTTTTCAACCAAATCTAGACTATTAGTTTTTGCTTTAGACCAAACCAACCAAGGTGCTGGCCGGTTGGGTTAGGTCAGGTCATGGAAACTTTGATATAGGCCAATGGGCTCATGGTAGATATGGGTGGTGGCAATGTACCCCGACCTGTCCCCAGACCCGAGTGGTAGAACTTATCCGGGTCCGAGTATGGGTCCAAAAATTATCCGGTAGCTCGAACTCGGGTTCAAATCTTGGACCTAAGCACTATTTGGATTTGGGTCCGGTCGGATCCGGGTCCGAGTTTGATAATTTTTTTTGAGTCCCAATATATGAAATATAGTTAAATATAGTTAGATATATATATATATATTTTAACTTTTAAGTCAGGTCCTGTTCTCATCATTTTTCGGGTTTGGGTCCAAAGCCAGCCCCGACCCGTTGCCCTAATGGTACATTGTGAGCCACTTTTGACAAAAATAGCTTTCCATTGTTTTGGACACATGTATCTAGTTTGAGTGATCTGATGAAGGGGAAAACAAAATATTGGAGAATCTACCTTGTTCTTGGCACAATGAGCATATGCGCGCAGGTATGGTGCATTGTCAACCTCAACCCCAAGGACGCGTTTCCCCATCAACCGATGCCACAATAAAGCACTGAAAAAATAAAAAATAAAATTTAACTAAGTATATTTAAATAGAATTTCAAAAGGAGGAGCATTGGGTGGTCCTTATGACCACAGAGAATATGTGGTCCTTGGTTCCATCTCCATTAAATCAATGAGCGATGGCGATGGAGAGAGAGATTCTATCTAACCCCATATGTCATATCATGGGCATGACCATAGATTTCCAAGGTCACGAGATCCAAACAGGCGTTCCCTCATGAACCAAGTTTTTGAATTGAATGAATTTCCCAAATTAAACATTTTTTTAAAAAATAAAAATATCAATTATGTTAATTTATCATTAAATTTTCCAAAAATATTTCTTATTTTGTCTAATAATAATTACCATATTATGTAGTAAACTTGCCTGTAAAAGTCAGGGTTGGGCACAAATGTGGTGGTGTCTAGGAGACCATAATTGCCACCGACGAGACTTTGTCTACAGTATGCTTTATGGTTGTAGCTTGATGTCATGCCGAGTTGATCCAAATACCTATTCAATCAAAAATTAATATTAATGTCCAAGAGTTTGTATAGGCATGAGAGAGAAAGAGTACATAATTTGGCAAAACATGTAAATTAGGGAGAGAGAGAGAGAGAGAGAGAGAGAAGAGGGTCACTTAAAATCTCTATTTTCTTATTTCTTATTTTTTTTATTGAAAATTAAGTAAAAGATTCATTGATATTTTAAGAGAGGAGCTTAGAATCTCACCAAAAGCTATCTATAAAGGCATTGGAAACATTGGGACCACCGCTATTGTATGCACCTCCGGCCTCACCAACCCAAGCAGCGGACCATGGCCCAAAGTCTTGTATGGTCAGTTGAATGCTTTTATATGTCTCAGCTATTTCGCTCAAATAAAATGGATCCACCATCCTATTTGGGACAATAGGATCATTGCCTATTTTCATAATTCACCATAAAATTAGTCGTCAACCGCATGACCCACTTTGAAAGTAATGAAAGTGAAGGATGAAACGAGTTTTGAGTTAAAAGAAAAAAGATAAATATTGTAATATGTATTTTTATAATTAAATATTACCAACAAAATAATATTTTGAGTATAAAATATGTTAAAATATTTTATGATCCCGCAAGGGCGAAGTCTACATCTACTCCCTATTTTAAAACATTATCTAGGTTATTTTTAGGTGCCCAAAATTTGGAGATGTAACCTCCTCAACCAACTACCAGCATAATAAAGAAAAACAAGAAATTTTATATGCGCTCTATATGCTGTCAAACTTTTGAATGGTAACGTAAAAGTGTTTAAAAACTTAAAATTTAAGAATTTTTGGATTGAAAAACTACATTTTTTTTTATAGTCACATTTAAATGTTCAAAGGTCAAATTTTCATACTTTTCTGGTGATTCAGTTGTGGATCAAGGGAAATATTCTTACATGTGAGGGAGCAAGTATACATCAGGCTCCCGTACGAGACACAACTCTATCCGACCCAACTGTAGTTTGATTTGGTATTGTAGATTTATTCAATTTGAATTATATTCAAATTTTATTTAAATTTTAAATTTTATAATTAGAGTTGAATATGGATTTTTAAGTCATTATAAAGTTTTCAACTAAAATAAATTGAAATGACCAAAACACCCTCATTGAGTCCAAAACATAAGGATGGATGAAAATATGACCAAATGGCATTAATGTGGAAATTACAATTATTTAAAGAGATACCAAAACATTATGAAAAGACAACATAATATAAAATTGGTCAAAACGCCTCGTAATTTAGGGAACTACAAAAAAGTAGAAAACTCATTAAACTACACCAAAAGTTAATTGACATTTCACTTTGGATGTGATTTGATAAATATCAAAATTCTTATATTATTTGATGGGCTATTTGAATTTTGATTTGAAGAATGATGATCTTTTTGAAATTAGATCAAATCAAATACATGGTTGGAAATTAAAAACTTTAAGCGTTAGTGATAAAATTTCCAAAAAAAACCAAAATACACAAACATGTGAGAAATGACCATTATACTCTCAATTGGATAAAATTAGTTTATTTCTGCACAAACCCAAACTGTTTCTCTCTCTTACCGGCACCAAGATTGTAGATGTGGTGTGTCAAGACATCGACGACTCCCGAGCCGGAACTCTCAAGAAGCTTAATGAACCAATCTCGATCGAAGAAACCGCCGGGGGCTAGGATCTTTGGTTGTGGCATTGAGGAGCTGTTATATAACTCAGTCACAACTTTCTTAAGGTCAATCAAGTCCTGTCCATATTGAGTAGGGTTTACACTGGCTGCAATTCCACTTCCACTGAGCTCATTACCTATGGAGAAACAAAAAATATCATAATTAAGATTAGCATTTGAGATTGCTAACTCGGGCTTGGACTTGGACTTGTCAGGGTCAGTCACAGAATTGGGACATTAGAGGTCCGACTGGACCGATTCTCCAGGTAAAACAGAAAGGACCCTTGCCCAACTCCTAGGGTTTTTCATCCTAAAATGGTGACTCGCTCATTATTGCTAATGATGCGCGAATCAACAGTTTCTACATTATGGGCTAATATCAAGAAACTAAATAGGATTTTTGCATCTTGTAAGGGTCTCCACTCCCGGGCTTGGAACATTACATAGTGGAGTGTCCTCGAGGCCCATTGTAAAGTAAATATGCACAAAATAAAAAGAGAGTATAAAAAAATTTTCAAGAAAAGTACAATCAACCCGAGAAATTTTAATGTTTGAGAAAACTTTTTCAAATTGAGTGATATTCTTTTACATGCTAGATTTTAAACTAGGGCTAATTGTGACCTTCTTGTATCAAAGTTATTATCTTATACAATCCAAACCCATAAAAAGCATCATACTTAAGATTGAGGGACTAAATTGAAATTTGACGTTTTAGATTAAGCATCAATTAGGCAAATCATCTCATTTAACAATAGGAGTGGTTCTTTTTAAATTTAAGTTCATTCGGGTATCTACTTGTAATATATGGTAAAATATGATCAAATTGCCTCTATTTAGTATTGTTAACCTTATAATATATGGTAAAAGGTTATCAAATTGTTTCTATTTAATATTGAAAACACTGAACAACCAAGGCATTTTAATAATTCAGCTCCACTTTAGTGGACCAAACAAAATGATGCAATGCCTATAGTTGTTCATAATTCAGGGTTTGCTGCATAAAACAGGGTTTACAATAAAAATTATGAGTAGTTCTATGCTACTAACCTAAACAATTCTGACCATCAAAGCGAAGGTAATTTATCTAAATAATTTAAATAGTTCTATGTTAACTTGAACAATTCAGACCATCTAAGTGAAGGTAAACTATCAAAATTTAGGGTTTTGAATATTGAACAAGGGCAATTTGGTCACTTTTAACCACAATCCTTAATCGTACATCAACGATAGCACGACTTTAAGGTTTTGTAAGAGAATTTAACATTTGATATTTTCAAATAAGTATCTTTCATGTCTTGCTTCTCTCTCAATGAGAGAAAATACTCCATCCAAGTTTTAGAAAAATGCTAATCCATATCGGAACCGGATCGGCAAACAAGCTCCTGTCATTTGGACAAGGAATCGTTGGAGTGAACAAGTTCCGGTGAGATATCAAGAACCGGCTGATTCCCTCTATGACATGGTCGGTTTTGGGCGACCGGACATTTAAAAACTTTTCCTGAACTCCTCACTCTTAGAAGAGTGATAACACGCTCTAATAAGAATTTTTGGAGTGAGAAAGTGAAGTGCTGATTACCGAATTCCCAAGAATCGATCTTTTGGGCATTGGAGATGGTGTAATTGATGAAATCACGAGCGTTGGATGAGTCCCATGGGCCAGTCCATTCAGTTTTGTTTGGATGTTGTTGCCTTCCATACAGTGCATTCAACCCAAATGTAACGAGGGCTCTGCACAAAAAATGACCATTTTAATCATGAAATAATAATAATAAGCAAACAATTGAAAAGGGGAACTGAGAAAGAGAATGATAAAAATGATAAGCAAATTTTATTTTATTTTTTTAATTTTTTTTTGCATATCTAGATTTTGATGCTCTAAGGTTGATGCAGAGTATTTTTGGAGTTGAAATCTCGGTTATCTACAACTTCAAAATCTCTTAGCATATGCACATTTCAAAAAAAAAAAACTAGGAATGAGTAAATGTAAGGTTTTGAAAAAGTTAGTTTTTGCATTGGGGGGCATCCCCTCCACTTTTTCCTTCTGACTCCTCATTATAATATGAAAAATCCATCTAAAAACAATCGAACCAACGGTCCAAATAT